ATACTTGTTTATAAAAAATATTAAATAAAATTAGCTTCTGTTTTGCTTATTTCTGAAGTAGTTCAAATGGGATACCCAGGCATTTCCAGGTAGGTCTTTGTAAAATGAAATGTCAAATATATGCAAAAAGTAAGATTAATTGTAAAAGCCTATCTCACAAAGGGATTGGAGGATTAAAACATTTGAAAACCAAAAATATAGGCTGGAGGGGTGTTTCAATGGTTAAAAACACTTCTTGCTCTTCTAGAGGACCCAAATTCACTCCTCAGAATCCATGTCAGCTGTTTGCAACTGCAAGTCTGAGCATCCAATGACCAAGATTGGCCTTCTGGATACCTACATATATGAGGTATATACTAACTAACATAGACACACACATATACAGAAATATGTATCAGATTCAGCAGTTGTTTCCATGCATACAGGTACATAGCTTCAATTTTCTACTCAAGAAGACTACTGAGAAATTGAAAATAGGTGCTTCTCTGGGCTACTCAGGGGTAGAGTCCAGGAAAGATGTGAGAAAAGCTTTAGATTTAGACCTCAGAAACACACAAAACATGGATATGTAGATTATAAACTGCATAGAGAACTGTTTGTGATATTTTGTGTCTGTGTATACATATGTGTGTGTGTGTGTGTGTTCATGTGTAATAGGTGCATACATTGTGAAGGTTTAAGGACAATTTTGGGTGTATTCTTGAGATATTATCCATCATTTTTAATTTATTTTTTATTATTTATCACTTTTATTTATGTTACATATCAACGACAGTTTCCCCTCCTTTTCTCTCATTCTCTCCCTCTACCTCCTTTGTACCCCTCCTGCATCCACTTATTCTCTGTCTCCATTCAAATGGGATAAGCCTCCCATGAGAATCAGCAAAGCAAAGCATATCAAGTTGAGGGACGACCAAACTTCTCCCTCCTGCACAAAGGCTGAACAAGGCATCCCTCCATAGGAAATAGGTTCCAAGAAACCTGATCATGCATCAGGGACAGGTTCTGATCCCACCACTTGGGGACCTATAAAAGACCAATCTATACAAATGTCACGCAGGTACAAAGGGCTCAGGTCAGTCCCATGCCTGCTCCCTAGCTGTCTATATGGTTTTCATGAGTTCTCACAAGCTCAGGTCAGCTGTCTCTGTGAGTTTCCCCATCATAATCATACCTGCCATATCTCATAAAATCCCTCTACTCCCTCTTCAACTGGAGCTCAGTACAGTGCTTGGCTATGAACCTATACATCTACTCGCATTGGGTACTGGATGAAGGCTCTATGATGACAGTTAGAGTAGTCACCGATCTGATTACAGGGAATGGCCAGTTCAGACACCCTCTCCATTATTGCCAGGAGTCTTATCTAAGGACATCCTGTGGGTTCCTGGGAGGTTTCCTGTCATCAATTTCTCCCTAACCCCATAATGACCCCCTTTAACAATATACGTCTTTCATTACTCTCTCCCTCTCTCCACCCCCTCAAACTGACCATACTGATCCCTCATGTTTCCATCCCCCATATCCGCCACTCTACACCCTTCATTCCCAGTTTACCCAGGACATCTCATTTATTTCCTCTTCCCAGGGATATCCACATGTTCCTCTTAGGGTTTTCCTTGTTACCTAGCTTCTCTGGGGCTGAGGGTTACATCCTGGTTATCCTTTGCTTTACATCTAATATCCACTTATGAGTGAGTTCATACTGTATCTGTCTTTCTGAATCCTGGTTATCTCACTCAGGATAATTTTTTTCTAGTTCCATTCAATTGCCTGCAAATTTAAAAGTGTCATCTTTTTTCTGCTGAGTAATACTTCATTGTGTAGATATACCACATTTTCTTTATGCATTCTTCGGTTGAAGGACATGTAGGGTTTTTGTCAGGTTTTGAACTTAGGTGAGCAGTATTGTGGTATGGTTGAGCATCCTTTGGGAATATGTCCAAGAGAGGTATTACTTGGTCTTGAGGTAGATTGATTTCCAATTTTATGAGAAACATCTATACTGGTTTTCAACATGGCTGCACAAGTTTGCACTCCCACCAGCAGTGGAGCAGTGTTCCCCTTAATCCTCATCCTCTCCAACATAGACTGTCATTAGGGTTTTAGATCTTTGCCATTTTGTCAGGTGAAAGATCTTCTCTTGGTGTCCTTTTGATTTGCATTTCCCTGATAGCTAAGGATGCTATAATCAGATAATGGCATGTAGAAGAATGCAAATTGATCCATATCTATCTCCCTGCATGAAATTCAAGTCCAAGTGGATCAAAGACTGGGCCCACAAAACTTCCATTCCCGATTTTTAGGGACTTGTTCTTTTTCTGTACTATATCCACTTTAGGTACTTCATTCAGCCTGTTACTTCAATACATTTACCCTACTGATGCATTTTGACACTGTTTAGACTTGGAATAAGTATTTTCCACTCTGGCCCTGACTTTTTAATCTTTCTGCACTTCTTACCACCTTTCTTTTGGCTATTCAAGTCCAAGAATTTAACACAAAAGGTACAATGGTACTAACTCTGTCTTTATTTCCCACATATCTAATTAGAAATGGATCATTTGAACCACAGTTGCAAATATCACATCCATGAATTTCTCCTCTTGGCTTCTATAGTTACTGTTTTAATCCAGACTAAGAACTTCTTGGCTTTACCAACTGCCACTCTGACTCTGCATTGGTCTAATCCCTGTCATCTTAAGATAGTTTAATCAAGCTGACCTTTGTATGAAACAAACACAACTATGTTCTGTAAAGAGAAACTTTTTCCTTGTGGGAAGACTTCCCGCCAGCCTGGTTCTAGAGCGGCATTAGTCCCAAAAAACACACAGGAAGATATATTAATTATGAAGCTGTTGGCCTTGCTTGTTTCTTACTGGCTATCTCTGACTTAAGTAATTACCTCATAATTGTTAATCAAAGTATGTCTCTCACCAGAGAAGTTTCTGGGCTTCCTACCCCATGGCGTTACATTTCGATTCTCTGTGTTTCTCCTTCCCAGAGTTCTCCTGGACTCCTAGTCCCACCTATCTAGATTCCTATCAGCTCAACAGTGCTTTATTGACATAAGACTTCCCCAACAATGTTCCTCCTTGGCTTTAATTCATTTACTAATACTTGTATTTGTTTACTTTGTGCATCTTTGTGTGTGTTCATATGTACATGTGCACATGCACATTACAACATGCATGCAGAAGTTCCAAGACCATTTTTTTGAGAATCTGTTCTCTTTTCCAACTTTCAAATTTCTTTTTGAGGCAGAGACTATTTTGTTAGTCTGTTGCTACACTGAATACTGCAGGCTAGCTGGGTTGGGATCTACAGGCTGATTCTTCTGTTTCTGCCTTCCATATCACAGAAGTAGTAAAGGGATTTCAGATTCACAGTTCTGCTTTCTGGTTTCTGGGGATACAGGACATTGTCTTGCTTGCCAAGCAAGCACTTTTTACCTACTGAGCTATTCCTTGGACTTTAATTCATTTTTAAAAGTCTGCCTTATTAGGTTTAGGACTGTATTTCCCAAAAGACTTGACGCCCACTCCACACTGCGTTTTGTTCATGATTTTTGCTTTGCTTGGAAAGTGAATTCTCCCTGCCCACCCTTTGGAATTCTTACATGTATTTAAAGATAGTTCAGTTCCTCTAAAAATCCAATGCGGGTACTCCCAAGGCAGAATTCTGATCTTTAGCATCTTTAGCATTTCATAATGTTAACATTTATTCATTAGGAATAAATGTGCACCACAAATTTATAAAATAAAATCCCTGTAAGGGATGAGAGCATTTTGCAGGAAGCATCAGCTCCTGAAGCCATTTCATTTTGTCAGAATCTGTTACATAGTAGGGACTTATAATCGAAAGAAGGGGTGAATGGCAGAATGGATGATTGAACTTGGTCCCTCTCTGTCCTGGTCTTAGTGGCCCTGAATACACGAACAAGAACATGTGCGGCATCATCCCTTTTTGTTTATTGCTCAGGGGCTGCTTGATATTTCATAGTAATGAGTCTGGCCCCTGTCCTTTCTTTCATTAAAATGAAGCAGGCTTCTAGCCAAACCTGACTTTAATCTTTAAAATCTCTTTCTTCAGAATAAGCTTTTGCCCTTTTTTCAAGCCAGAAAAGCTTCAATCATCTTGCTTTTATTTTGAGGAAGGATTGTTCTATCATTTTTCATATGTAAAGATTTCAAAAGTGCAAGAGAACTTTATAAAAATTATATCATAGACTTGAAGGGGAATTTACTTTTTAAAAAAATCCCTAAGTAAATGATAAAATAAACCTACATGCTTCTATCCAACTTTTTCTACCAGAAATTAATTCTGTACCATACAAAGCAGACTGATAGCTGTTCTGTGTCTAATGACCTCAAAAGATGCTGAGGAATGACCATGTTACTTAATATGCCACATACATTGAAGGAGGAACAGTTGCACATATCAAAACCACACATTCCATCACTCCAGATTAATTTAAGCTCTATTCAAAACTGCACAAAATGTTGCCTTTATTGCCTTCATTGAAACATTTACGCATCTGAAGTCAAAGCTATTTCTTGCAAGCTCAATCTTTATTAAATATATCTGATTTATGTTCTGCAGGCTTGAAAAAGGTCAAATTAATTTCATCGTAGTTTCTCTTTGCACTGGCATCTGTTATGCAGCATGGTACTGCTGTTACAAATAAGGCTTCCCCCCAAGTAACAACATGGTGTCTTAAATTATATTCAGTGTTGTAAAAGATTCCAGATCATTCTAATCAGCTTCTTGGCTCTGGTATGCTGCATATGCCCCCTTTTGAAATTTGTTCTAATATATCTTTATAATTCAAAGGCTTTTGCATCAGAAGTTGATTTACAAGAAAAAGATTCATAGAATAGTCCCAGAGACTATATAGTCATTATGGAGATAAAGAAGTGGCAAGGACAAGGTACTCAGAACACACAGTGAAAAATTGCAGAAAACCAGTGACTGTAAAATTCCTTTTAAGTTGCCTGTACCTCTTTACTGTAATCCACCAGTTTTTCCTGGAGACATTGTGAGCTTCTTTAAAAGCAACAACAACAACAGCAGCAGCAACAACAACAAAAAACAATAAGGTGCGTGGTGGTAATGCATGCCTTTAGTCCCAGCACTTGGGAAGCAGTGTCAGGTAGATCTCTATGAGTTCGAGGTCTATAGAGTGTGTTCCAGTACAGCCAAGGATATACAAAGAAATTCTGTCTCAAAAAAAAAAAACAACAAAAAATGAAAGATAACAAATAAAACATTTGATTCTGTAACAATAAACAGCACAGTTACTGAAAGTAAAACAAAGTATTTATTGTAGAAATTACTCACAAGATACCAAACAAGTAACCCAGATGAGCTAAGTAGTTTTCTGCTGCCGAACCGGAAGCTGAACTCCGGGAAAAGAGAGCAAGACTTCCTGTGTGCTGTCTTTTATGCCTTTCCCCGTAACGCCCCCTAGCCATGCCCAAAAGTGGGCCTAGCTAGTGACGTAGTTCACAACCTACGTACGTATACGTCTTTACGTCTGTCTGTATATGTCTTTAGTCATGCCTAAAGTGGGTGTAGTTAGTGGTGTGGTAAACGGCTCTTTTATTATCTCATCTGTATGCATCTCTAGTAAGTCACATGGTTAATGGCGGCATACAGGCTTCTTCCTACAAACATTAATTTCTTTTGTTGTCAAGCTGCAAATGTTGTAAAGGGGAAGACACCACAGGAGTGAATTGCAAACTTAAGGAGGTTGCCCATGAACCCAGAGATGAGGATGCAGGAGTAAGTAGGGCCAAGAAGGTCATCAGTAAGGGCAGGGGGCATAAAGAATAAGCCACAATATATTCTGAGCAAATTCGTCAATCTGAAAGGCTCTTTATTACAGTTGTGTCTTTTCACATTATATTTTTCTGTTAATTTCGTTAATTATGTAAACATGTAAATATATTTCCTTATCTTTTATCAATTTCATCATCAGGTTGCAAATTTTTCAGTTTCTGTTTTTCTGTTTTGTTCTGTTTGTTTTTCAGGAAATTGCTTTTGTTCTTTGCCTCAAGAAATTCTTTAGGAATATGTCCAAATTTAGTGTTTTTCTTCATATTCTCTCATCACATTTATTTATTTATTTTTATGTTTGTGTTATCTGTATTTTGTCACTGTATAATGTGGGATCAGAAGACAGCTTTCAGGAATCAAAACCACTATGTTGTTCTTGGGAATGAAATTCAGGCCTCAGTCAGATATGATTGGAGTACTCTCTTCTGAATTTTTTTAAACTTGCTTTCAAAGCAAATAAAAAAAGATAGTGTTAACTATAGATACTGAGTTCTAAATCCTAACTAATAAAATAATGTTATCATGTATATTCTATATTGTTTGCTCTTGATAGAATTCTTATTTGTTGTTTCTTCAGTACAATCACCTTCTTTCACTATGCTGGCCTGGAATTCACATACTGTTGGCTCACGGCTGTCAGTCCCCTGCCTCACCCTTCCAGAGTGTCATCATTTCACGCATAACATATCATGTCTGGCTTCTTGACAGCTTTTTAAGTGGCAGTTTTAAAGTCCACTGTTCTGTACTCACACAAAAATTAATTACTTAAAAATGAATTGTGGAATTTAACAGATTCTTATCTATCATCACTGTAATAGCATATTATTTTTCTAGTGGCAAAAGAAAATAATAATAATCAATATTTAAGATTATAAAAAATTAAAGAGAGAAATTAGCTTCACATAAAGAGGTTCGATGAACTCTGCCACTTAATGAATAAAGGAATGGTGGTGGTTGGGAAGTCATTCTGTTAACTAGTCAATCAGTGACTAACTAGATACCTGTATCTTGACCAGGATTATTTAACATTGGAATATGGAATCAATCCTCTAATTTGTGATGGGAAAATTAGAAATAAAATATAATATTTTGGAAAATACAATGAATAAATAATATGCATTTACTGGCATGCAGATTAATGTGAATACTATCTTTCATTACACATATCTCAATAATTAGCACTTTTAAAAGAGAGTAAACAAAGGGTTAGAGAGATGGTTCATGGGTAAAGGGACATACTGCAAAGTCTGAGGACCAAAGTTCTGTCTTCAGGTCTCACATGGTAGGAGAAGCCAGCTCTCTCAATTTGTCCTCTGACCTCCACATGTGTGTCTTGCAAGCATGCACAAGTGTGCACATTTGTGCTCAGACACACAAACACACACACACATACATGCAAATAAATTTCAAATTGTAAAAAAATAAGATTCAATAGAAAATTTAAATGTATTGTGAATTACTGCAACCTGCGTGAAAATGTACATTACTGACTTTATGGTTGAAAATTAATTGCAACATTATCTAATTTTCTCGGACATGTTCCTGATTAGCCTGGATTATTTTTCAAGTGAAGTGGTGGAAGATAAAAAATACAGAGTAAAAACACATTAAAGCCCAGAAGAGTAAAATTTGTATTAATGTGTGGAACTCAGAGTCAAATGTAAAAATGCATAAATACTAACAAAACATACTCAGAACACCCTGATATTTCAGACTAACCTCACAGCAATACTCTTAATGCTGGATTTTTTTTGGAGGTTGAATTTAGATTGTAATGGATTTTGTCTTAAAAGATTCTGTAAGAATATGATGTAACTTGAGTGTTAAATTAGTTTCCTAGAAAGACTTTGTCATTGTATTGGGCACCTTGTACTATTCACAATTATTTTCATGCCCCACAGACACTATAAACCAGACAAGGTAATTTTCACTGCCACTTGTCCAAAGCCTCATATAATTTGCTGCCACTGCCTAAGCCTCTATTTCCTCCTAATAATGGGGCCTTAATCCTGCCCTTTGCAGGGACAGTGCAAGTTATTTCTGATACTTAAAGCACCACTTCAGAGAAGATTCTAGATAAGAAAGAATCAGTGTAAAGGTACTTTCATGTAGTTCACGTGACACTATACAGCTTTTATTTGCCAGGTTCTACAGGATACTGCCGTTTTGACTTGGAGTGTTTTTCAAATCTTCTTTCTGTTCAGCTTTGTGAGAAATGTACTTTTCTGTTTACACACCTACACTGCCTAACTCACTAATCTAGAGAACAGAAAACCTGGACATGAACTTTGGAAGGAGATGAAGAGTAGTAGTAAGAAGGTAGTGATACTAAGGCTTTGAATATGCACTCATAGATAACTGAATTCTTTCTGCAAACTAAAATATTCTCAAAATAAACCACTTCTTGAATTAATTGTACTTTAACAAACATCTTCCCAGTATCCAAGTTCATTATATTCCCTCTTAGCGTTGGGCATAGCCTCCTCTTCCGAGTAATGGCCAGATCCTAGAGAGCCAACAGAGCCTGGATATGGAAAGGGGAAGAATTTCTAGTTGATCATGATTTTTATTGACATCCATTTCTTTTTAATATTTTATGAGCATCTGGCTTTAAAAGCCATTACATATTGCTTTAGAAGTGATATCATGGATGCTCAGTGTATGAAGTCTTCTAGACCTTGATCTAAATCCCAGAACTAAGTAACTGGGTAACCTTAAAGCAGTTGATCCAGTTTTATTCTAATAATAAATTTAATAAATGGTCATCCCATGGGTATACACAACACACAATTGTCAACGGAAACTGCGGCTACATTTCCTAGCTGTAAATGCGAGGCAAACCTACCAATGGTGTTCATCCAGGGAAAAAGTCATTGATGATGTTTATTTGGAGACAATCTAAATGAGAAATGAAATGGAGGGAAAGTCATTTCAGGCCAAGAAAGTAGAATGAGCAAAAAAGATTCCAGGGTGAGCATAAAGAAGCAAAATGGCAGAATGTGGAGGGATTTGGTCATCAGGATTTGTGTCTACATTTTGTGAGAGGCAGAAGTTTTGAATGGAAATTGACCTTAGTCTAATGTGCTTTAAATGATAACAACACTTCTGTATAAAGACTGAAGGAAGGATAGCATGGAAAGGAAGGAAAGAAGCCACAGCGGAGAGTACATAGTGTGTGTGACTAGGGTAGAAACTGTGAAGAGAACAATACTGGAAGGAATATATTTGGTTAGTAGGCAGGATGGGACTTTCTTTAACTAGATCAGGGGTGAGCTCATGGGACAAGGAAGTTAGAAATTATTGGTGAATCTTAGGTGATCAAGATTCTTCCTGAACTGAGGTTAACATTGGTAATATCCGGGAAATATTTCCTTCTTGCAGCAGAAGAGTCAAGAAGGTAAGGATTCCAGGAAGAACTCTTCAATATCTAGGCCCATGTGGCTTCTGGCTGGCATCTGACACAGAGATGTCCCTGGTTAATCTGAGGACTCAGGAGCTCTATCTCTGTAGAGGGATACCTTAGGGGTTCTCCATCTCAGCTCTGGAGGGAACAGAAATGAGGTTGCTGGGCTCATTGGTCCAGTGTCAAGACCTATAGGCTTCACCCTAGTGAAAAAATAAATAGCTGCTTCCTTCCTATTTCACTCAGTCATTTATTTGACTCAAAGGGATTTTTTGAAACACAAACCCAGGAAGTATTTTAATGAAGTTCTGCATTGGCCTCTGTTAAATGCATATAGCAACAGCAAGGCAGAATTTCCCTTTGGCATTGCTCTTACCCAAAATCAGGAAGAGAATAAATGAGAAAAATCACAGGACAAAGTAATCACAGATTCCCCTTTCAAAAATAATCCATCTCTTTTGTAATTTTCTGATCACTTAAATTTCAGCATTCAGTATATCTTATCTATAAAACAAAATTGTGTTACAAATGTTTAATACTATTTTATGTTCTTAGAGGTTATTGGGATGGTTACCCATCGCTTTGTGGCTTTGATGTGCACAGATATAGGTACATGAACTTAGAAGTGGTAATAGTCCAGTGTATGTTTCCTCCCGTGTATGGAATCTGTCTTAGTTAGGGTTTCTATGACTGTGAAACGTCAAAATGACCACAGTACCTCTTATATTTGTGTGTGCAAACAACATTATTATATAGCCATCAAATTAGCCTAATTAGGAACCAGCAATTATTGTGGACAAAACTGAATTTTTTTAGAGATTGTGCCCCAGAAAAATGGAGCTGAGCACGGGTGGTCATCACAGTTTGCTCCCTGACTGAG